GGGCACCTTCAAAGCCACGCCATAAGGCGGCTTCCGAGTAGGATACCGGTTTGCGCTAGTTCCCCCGTACTTTTAGGTCCGGCACTAGCCATTGTCGAGCCCTCTACTCGTACAGGGCGGCAAATTCCCGAAACCGGCGAGTAAACGCGGCAGTACTCGTCAGTCCCTCACATCAGGTTGACCTCCTATTTCGCTTGGACGATACCCACAATAACGCTGGGTAACTGGTAGACACAGGTGCTCATGTTTCTGCCGTACCACTTGGTAGCTGCAAGTCTCAACCTATGGTGATTCGACTACGAGCTTCGATTGGCTCTGTCATTCCTGCCTATGGTACGCGACAGCTGACGTTCAACCTGGACAACCGACGACAGTATCTGTGAACGTTCTTCACAGCCGATGTTTTGTACAGTTATACTCGGTATTGATTCCCTACAGCCATATGAATTGCTACTCGATTCACGAAGGCTGCAGCAAATCAGTATTTCGTCTAACAGAAAATTCATGGACTTTTGAGTTCAAACAAACGCGTACCGCATCACAGGTGCGTTTCGTTCCCGTGATGACATTTTCCACACTTTACTCAAAAAATTCCCCCAGGTAACTAAACCACTCGAGGAGATTACACCGGTGACTCAAAGTGTGGTACACCATATCGTCACCACCAGTCACGGCAAACCCTCACCGACAGGCACCGGACAAATTGGTTTTCGCTAAGCGTGAGTTTGACAATCTACTAGCTACAGCTATTATTCGTCCTCCTCACAGTCTTTGAGCCTCACCCCTCCAGATGGTTCGCAAAAAGGATTGGACCATGCAGCGACCACCGAGCATTATATGTAGCGACATGTTACCATCACTATCCCATTCCCCACACACACGACATCACGGCACCACTCAAAGGCACGACTATTTATGTAAAGACTGATCTGTTACGAGTATCATTCGTTCAGTTTCGATCACGCTTCTGCCACTACTCGAATTTAACAGGAAACACCAAAATAGATTGAAGCGCTACAACAGCAAACGAAGAAATAAAACAGTAACTGTGTTTGCAGAATATATGGAACATAAAGGAAATTATAGGAATTTATGAACCTAGGATGTAAATAAAAATATCGTGTAAGTTATTAAAATTAGCTGTTAGCCGTAGATTGTGTTTGAAGAAAATATTAATACATAGGATTGTATATGCTGGACAAATTAAATTGACTCAAATGCGAAGAAAATCAGTGTTTCTATGAGAGGCTGACTCCAAACTCTACGTTTTGATTTGTAGTAGCGCAAAATGGTTTTGATAACAGTAATCGTGCAATGTTTGAGAGTATTGAATGTAGTGGGCAGTTACCTGTGCTTGAATAAATGAAAAAAAGTTTAATGACTGTGTAGACAATCAAGCAAGGCTCATCGATTAAGCGAGGGCCGTAAAAATATTATGGACTTCCTGTACAGATCACTGATTAAAAAACTGAGAACAATGATAACTGACTACAAATGTTATAATTGAATATACGTTGCTATCAATGAGTTTGTGACTCCAAACTTATGATTATATTACCGTTGCAAGCCGTTGCCAGCGTTAGGGTAGTCGAAAACATTTTGATATCAGCGTGCAGCAGGTTCGCTTGACTGTTTAGACTGGTGGTTCGTGTGTATGAGCGCGTGTCGCCATACCTTTAGTTACTGAGCAGGTTGCAACATGTTTAAGGTACGAGCACCTAATCGCCAAGTAGAAAAAATCTGTCTTGTGATAATTAGATCCACCGGTTCGCTGAATATTTTCAATATAATAATGTGATTCGGCAACAGAAATAGAATGAGATCCATTTAAGTATGAATACTGATGCGATGATTTAATACAATGATTTAATAAACATTGGGCAATACGATTTTTTTTGGCATATCCTTAATGGAATGGCTTCGTTGCGTAAGTTGGATAAGAGACTGTGTTGTCTGCGTTTTCAACTGAGTGTGATAGTTTAATTCATTCATTGCGATCGACAGCTTAATTATCAACATATTTCTGCAGGTCGCGTCGAGCTCGAAATCTGGCTCACCGTTTTTTGTATTTGCGCGAAATTCGAAGTAGGGCTCATCATTTTAATTGTCCGAGACTTCCAGTTACTAAGGTAAATAGTATAACATAAAAATAATTGCTCCAATTTTAAGCATGCTGGCTGGGGTAGCATCTGGTCCTTCAATGTAAGAGTGCTTCAGTGTTCTAATCACCCTAGAAATATTTTATAAACTGAAGTCTACACTGGCGTTATTAGACTATTATTATTGGGGTTAGTTATGATTCGTTTTCCTTGGGTTTTCGTATGTTATTGATGCACAAATCGTCCAAACAAACAACCGTGACTGTGGAAAGTAGGGATGATGTAGGCGTAAATACTTGTTAAACTATTGTTAGATTCATCGTTTGCGCATCAGGGTTGTGGTAAACACAGCCGACCAGTAAGTCAAATGTATTTGAGGATTTATCTGATATAGATGAAATTTTGATTCAGAACGGCGATAGAGTCACTTCAAAAGGGAATCCGGACAAGAAATGATATTCAATTATAAATAAATACAACTAAATATAAATTTATATATTCCAATATATACACACAAAATTAAAATTCGATGTTACCTAAAACGTTTTCAGAGAGCGTGGTCGCGGATTGTCGGTTTTGCGAACTGCAATTAAAAAGATTAACTGACACTACCGAAATATAATATACTTATATATATATATATAATCCAGACGACAAATTTAGAAAATAATGGACATCTTAAAATCGGTAGATACTCTGAACTTTGATAGCATTAATATTAGAGATCTATCTACCAGTCTTCTTTTGAAGTAAAAACAAACGGACTTCGAGTACCGATGTAAACGACAGTGGTAAGGGATAGGATACTAGAGTTAAGTGTTAAGTTTGTTCCTTCTCAGAAGCCTATTCGCAGTGGAACATTCATGGCGCTTCCACACAAAATGCACCTTATTTATGAGCTCGCCTAGGTCACTGCTTATATCATGAGCATTGCAATCGACATATCCGAACAAATTCATTCCTGAATTATGCAAACCACCCAAAATCTCAACTGTGTACCTTTCCTATTTGTACTTACTTTTTGAAAACGTGGATATACTATATCATTCCTGTCAGTTGTATGGTGTAAATGTGCTATCAGAAACAGACTTTTATTTCTAATCTAACTTCGCCAGCTTTTACATTAAATGTGGTAGCATTAATAGCAATTCGATCTAGTCTGTAAACTGACATGCCTCTCTTAACACGCTGTTATTTGAGAATATTACCGATCCTATCATTGCGGTTTATTATTATAAGTCGTTATTTTCTCATGATTTACGCGAAGAAAGAAATTTTTAAAGATTTCTAGATTTTTTGTGACGATACGACACAGAGCTCAGAAAAAGGTTTTGAATTCACAAAGGCTTTTAGCTACAAACAATTTGAACTGCCGTTTGCATATATGGTCTTAATTCCGGTTCAGAGATCAATGAATGTGTTTTCAGTACTTGTCTGTCTTTGTTTTTCAGTTGTTCTTATGAGTACAAAATTAGTAAATGTTGAGTTATACATTCAAAATCATAGTATCTTAGATGTACTAGAAACTCAAATTTCAGCCTGATTTATCTCCATAAATAAGCGTGACCTGAATAACTCAGTGTTCCATCAAATAAGGCAAGTAAGGGACTTCCAGGGTATAATATTTGAAAAATGATAGCAGTATTGTTGATTTACTGATACCATTCACTCAAATTCTAATTTTTCCTCTTTGTTAAAGACTTACGGTATAGAAAAAATTGTGAACATTGGTAATCTAATTTAAATATCAGCTCAAGGCGATATTGTGCGAGGAGTCCTCTACAAGCATGCACTAGGATTTCCTGAAGTAATTAGTGGAAAGCTAGCTGCGTTTTTGTAACGAAAACGATTGTGTGAATGAACCTGAATGAGTAAATAATGGGGTGAAATTAATTTTCGCTTAGGATTTTCTGTGGATACTTAGAAAAAACTCTAAAATCAACGTCAGTTTTGTAATAATTTTGAGGCAGAATTCAAATTTATATGGATATTGGGGATTGACCACAGAAATTTGTTTTATTATTTCGAACTTAGTTGAACTTCTACAGAAAAGCCTAAATGAAATTCCAAAGTTATGTAAGATTTCTAGGGGAATGTCATACCGTCGTTGCGAATGATATTTTACCGAAATCGATAACTTCGGTTTGGTTCTAAACTCTATGGCAACCTTTGAGAAGTATGCATTATCTAGTTATTTTTACCATTTCAGAGATGACCTAAAGAAGCAATTTATCAGTTGAGATGCAAAACAACTGTTCATTCAGTATGCATATTGCGTTAAGAAGTAGTTGTGTTTACTATCCTACCTAATTATATGGAGAATAACAGAATACTACCCGCCACCTACTATATAAATATATAAACCATAAACGTGTTAAGGTTCGTGTGACCTTAGATAATTAACATACTCAACGATCAAGTATCCCGATACATACAAAAACATCATCCTTCTCGCCACTAGTGGTCAATTATACTGGTATAATTTCAACGCCCAATCTCAGAAACAGTCATTAAAGACTACAAGTCGCATAATTTCAGATTCTTTTTATTCTGTAGTATAAGCTTCTTATTGTGGTGGTGGGCAGGCATGCATCTACTTAAAGACTGTACCCAAGAAATTCTCCTTCTTTCCCACGCATAGCCACAATATTCCGAAAATTGTAGGTACCTTGCATATTTACTGAAATTATTATAATTCCTTCAGATTAACGTATTGTACGAAAACTGTTTTGAGATGAAGGCTGAATTGTTTTCACCATAATTTACTAATGTCTGTATCTCTCAAAAGCGAACATAAATCCATTTCACAGGAGATTCAGGTTTGAAATTCGAAACAGTGTTTTCCACCTATGCCAGCAAGCTTTTTGTTCGAACTAATCAATATTTCGATTTGGGTTTAAGGTCAAACACTGGAGTATGATTTTCATAAAGCGGTATCGTGTAGTGTTCGCATGTGTTCCGTGCTCTTTCAATGTAAGGATTGTCTTTGAGTGTAATTTCTTGTAATCAATTAATACGGTGATTGCGTTTATATCTATGGGGTGTTTTTTCCATTACATTTGTTAAGTCGTAATTTTTAACCATTGTTAATGTTCTTATAACAAAATAGTACCAGCTAATTAAACAGTTGCAGCCTCAGTCCTGTAAAGACTCATTCAGACAGTTATTTACAAAGTTGCGTGGAAAACCTGAACTTGAGATTTTTATTGAAGAATTCTAAAGACTTCGCTCTAAACATGTGTTGAAAAACAAGTTTTTGGTTGTTTGTCTTGTCCCAAGTTTACGGAATCTGAATATTGTCTATCAGCTGATTATACGAATAAGGATATCCATAATAATTTTAGATTGACTGTATAATGGCGTGTTCCTTCATTATCATCTTGCCACGTTAATCAACAATTACCGTACTGTATTTTGCATATACTTTAGTAGGTGGTCTCGGTCGGATTACTGTGTGGATATAAGTGCGCTATTGAGGATGTTTAAAAATATTAAATTATGTTTTTTGTATATCTCATCAACATTTTTTACTGATTTTACTGATACAATTTGTGGAGTTCTTCCTGCAGTCACCACCCAGTCTCGTAGTATGTCGTTTTATTTACAACAAACACGGGTGAGAGTCCCTTTTTCAAAATAAGAAAATAGTTACGACAGGTAACCTAGATAGGTGCCTCCTAATTTAAATGATTAATGATTCTTTACGTTTGTACTTGACGTTTCGTATTGAGTGTAAGGTCTTTAAAACCCGTCATGCTTCAAAAAATTTGGAGAAGTGATTTTTGCAAAGATTTATAATAACATACAGATAGATAAAGAAAACTAGTGTTAGTAGCAGAACACAAAATATGACTACAAATTGTATTCGTTTTGCTGGTATTTTATTACATTTTCTTAAGAATTATCTTATGATCCTTTCAATCCAGATTAATCTAAACCGTCATCTATCTGATCTGATTTTCTGCTGGCGGTTAATACTGAGAGCTAGCGTTAAGCTTGCACTTCTTATTCTAAATATAGAATTTATTTATTTGAAATTAGTTTTTACATCATTTAGTATCAACCAAGAATCTTGGTTTTCGATCATAGGTGTCTGCGCAGCGTTGAGCGTTTATCTTGGGACTATCGAATAATTAATGCGGTAGTTAGGAAACGGGTACTAGGTAAAGATGCCAGATCATTAGATGAAGTAGTGAAACTTCATCAGTTGAGGTAGTTTGGATATGTATTACGAATGCCCAACACCCGACTTCCTCGAATGGATGCACTTGCGCTGTTCGTTGTGCTCTCTCAAATCCTAATCTTCTGGATTCGTCAGCACCTCTACCTTTGCCTTTCTAATCTTATATCACTGAATTATACTTCTTGAATAATATCTTGAACCCTAGTCTTCTTCATTACCATTAATACCTCTGCTATCTTTATCACTATGAGATTTGATTTGACATTTGCGTCTCTGTGCTAGTGTGGTATGGCAACGTGAACTTATGTACATACGTACGAATTTCTACGTTGCAATTCACTGACTGCCTCGTCCAGCTATGTTTTTCGTTGAAGGAACCGGCTGGAAGAAAGCTAGGTGCGGCCAAATTAAAACATGGCACAAATCCATAAAGTCACTGACAAGTGGACTGAGCCCTGTTAGTAAGTGTACACTACCATTTGGGGTCTGTGAGACAATAGTAACTGATGGTTAGAGACTTTGAATGACATGGCTCAAAACCGTTTGCAATGGCACAAATGCATCCATTCTTTGTGTTCTCTCGATTTCTAATCTTCTGAATTCTTCGTCGCCTTTATTTTTCTCTTTTCACATTTATTTCGCTGACTTATACCTCCTCCAATCCCGCCAATACTTATACTACCTCTATTACAACGCGATTTGAATTGACAATTCGATTTGTGTGCTTTTGTGGCATAATATCCTAAAGTGATGTACGTAAGTACGAGGTTCTATGTTGTAGCTAACTGGCTAATCAGATAGCCTATTGCGTCAAATTTATTTATTTACTAATTTCCTGTTAATTGGTGAGTAGACGGTTCAGGAATGTAGCAAAAGTTTATTGGGCTACTGAATAATACGTACAAATGCTTCCTTCATTTCTCTTTCTCTCCCTCCACATATATATATATATATATATATATATATAACAGACATGACTCAGAATAACAACCATTTTTAATCCTGCTAAGGTTGCAACACATTCTGTATCAAAATAAGACTAAATCCGTTGACAGAAATATTCCTAAAATATATTTCTGAAGAAACTGTCTTAGTAAATCTGTGTTGGTAGTCTGAATCTAGTACACAGCATGGACGAGAAGTTATTTATTAGGTTGAGATTAGAACAATACAAGTTGTAAGTATTGGTCCTCAAGCATTATTAATGTATGACTCATGTGGAAGAGCGGCCGGAAAAATTAATTTGAGTATGAAATTCGGAGCATAAGTAGCTGTCACGCCTTTGAAGCATATACTCACTAGTTGACAGGAAATACACAAATCTGACGCGACAGGCTATCTGGTTAACCTTTAGACTAGTAGCATGTGAGTCTGACTGTGAGCAATCAGCCTGGACAAAGGAAAGAAAACTAATCGATGACTGGATAGACCAGAAAAAAGGGAGAAGGCCAAACAACTGAAACACTACTCGATTTATTTCTGATCCGATTACCGGAAAAAGACATGAATAATTATGTGGTCAGCAAGACCACAACGCACAGGCATTCAGAGAAATACAATTATGTTCAAACTAGCCATTTAGGCTAGAAAAATATAGCATGGGAGTTACGTTTAAACATAGTATTGCAGTGAATCATACATCAAACTTAAGCCTAGGATTCACAGATAGGAACTAAAGTGAATATTAGTATTTAGCAGGCTTCGAATTTGACACAACGATGTCCTCAAAATAAATTACCACTATTTAACATTCTGTTTCCCCCTTCACATCAAATCGTGAGCTTTAAAATATTAGACAATGAGGATTAGAAAAATGGTTCTGCATTATCGTGCATTAAAATTTTTAACACTAATACTTTTCTTACCGTTTCCGCCTACTTTTTATTCTACCGCATCTCTGCGCGTAACTTTAAGCTTTCGTAATGTTTTCTCGGTAATGTTATTTAGTAGGCATAATATTTGGTCGTATTTTGATTTCTTGTCAATAAATTCAATACCTAATTACCACATTGTTACTTTTGTTTCAGACTTGTAATCGTATAACTGCATATGTCGGAACAGTCTGTAAAACATCGGTTTCTTACTCTTCCTCCTGGGCAAAAGCTGAAGTTAGATAGAGTCCCTTCTCCTCATTGCCACCTAACACCTGTCCCTAACTTATCTACAAGTGCAAATTTAGATATAAATAATACTTCAGTAACTGTTACAGGTGATGATTTCGAGGATACATGTATTCTTGGTGAGTTGACCGTGTTTTTGTCATTGGATGAGTGATATATATCATTATTAAAACCAATTTACATTCCTTTATGTTCTAATATGATACATACTTGATATCCCGCGTAAAACAACCATTATGAAGAATTCATATGTGGTGGGTTTTTTTTCAGCCTATACCATATCATCAAAACCATTAAAATGTTAATACATTTTGCGATAATTATATCATAACTATTTTTCAGGTTGTGTTTAGCGCACTAGGGAAGCGAAGTAAATATGTTAAAAATATTGCAGGTCTTCATTAGGTGGTGTATAAAAAGTATACTACATATGTATTCAGTAATTCCAGAACTATTTATCTAATTTTTAATGTTCTAGTTCTTTTTGATTTTTTGTCTCTTTTGTCATAATATGCATTTTTAATGCGTGATTTATACTCTTACTTACGCCTGTAGCATTCAGCTTGTTTGAGTTTGCCGATTCGGTATTCTGAAATGTTTTACTCAAGGAAATAAATTTTAATTACGGAAGAAAACTTCACCTGTACACAATATCCTGACTATTTAGTTTCATTTTAAATCACAAATCAGATGGACATTTAGTCGGACACTTTTGAAGTAGATGAGGCCAAGTGCATCTAATAAACATGGATGTTCCCGTATTTGCTAGTACAGGAAAAGCAAATTAGCTTTAGTTTGACGGGTAAAGAATTAGGCCTGATGATGGACATTAATTACATCGGAGAGTGAATGTTCTACATTTTCATATCTTCAAGTGTTTTATCTATTAAATAGATTCTGATCACGCGTTTTTCAGTGTTCACTATTGTTTATAAAAGCATGTTGTTTTTATGAAAAACTTATCCATCTGGTTAGTAGCCATTTTGTCTTTGATGTAAAATTATTTGCGGATTTTAGTTGACATTTCTCTCCTGAGAAATCATTACTCGGACACATATTACATTCCACCAATCGATCAGCATTCTACCCGTTTTAACAATTACAAACCAGTTTGTCAATAAAAGCTAAGATCATTTTAAGATTCACACCATGAAAATTCTATAATCCTCACAACCTCCCTATGATAAAAGTGCTCATGGGCTCACAGGTAACTAGCTTCAAGTGCGATTTCTGGAGTTATGGTGAGGAGCATTGGAGTTCAACTATGTCGGTTGTGAGACAGCTATCCACCGCAGGTGATAAATTGTAGGTTACACAATAAAGTGAATTGATTTAAGTCAGATACGTACACCGCTGGATGCCAGTTTTCACGCATGCGACAGTAGGTTCATGAGTCGGTTCCCACTTTCGGGGTCGTGTATGTGCACTTCCGTCCAGCACTATACCACAACGAAACGATCATCCAACGCTTTCTAGTTTTTAATAGTGGTCCAAGTGGGACCAGTTCGTGATTCCTAACAAACTTGAATTAAATTTCCTCAGGCGAAATGTGTTTATGCGATATATTTTAATAGATTACTCATCTTGATCTGATATACTGACTTATAAAAAATCGTCAGAGTCGTTTCAAAAGTGAGATTTAATTATTACCCGTTGACTGATAAAATTTGAAGCAATATTAACTTTTTCGTTTTGTCTTTACCTATCAGGGTTAAAATTATGTTTCAACCACTAATATAAGTTAGAATTTTCCACCTCATTATTTGTGCTTCAATTAATTTATACACGGGTATTTTTCAATTTATTGTTTTATCAGGTGAAGGATTTTTTGGACGAGTTTTCAAAATGCGTTTAAAATCAACAAAAGAATCATTTGCAGTTAAAAAGATACCATTTTGCAATTTGGATCCACGTAATCCAGATATGATAGCGGATTTAGAAATAGGAAAACTTGATCCACACCCATTTTTATTGCGATCTTATTGTGCTTTCATTTATGTAGATTCTGTTTGGATTTTACTAGAACTCATGGATATCTCATTAGATGTACTTTTAAATAAGGTAAGTCAGTCAATCAGTTACAACGTAGAACTCCGTACGTACGTACATCAGTTCAGGTTGCCATACCAGATAAGCACTGAGACGCAAATGTAAATTCAAATCCCATAGAATTAGAGGTAGAAGGAATATCAGCAGTAATCAGAGAGATTAGGGTTCGACGATATTATTCATGAAGTAGAATCTAGTGAAATAGACTTTAAAAGATAAAGATAAAGTAATGAGGAACTCTGAAGGTTAGGATTTGGAGGAACACAACGAATGGTTGCATCTGTGCCATTGCAAACGGTTTTGCACCATGTCATTCAAAGTCTCTAACCATCAGTTACTATTGTCTTGCGGACCCCAACTGGTAGTGTATAATTACCAACAGGGCTCAGTCCACTTGTCAGTGACTTTATGGATTTGTGCCATGTTTTAATTTGGCCGCACCTAGCTTTCTTCCAGCCGGTTCCTACAACGAAAAACATAGTTGGACGAGGCAGTCGGTGGTTGGGGATTCGTAACACATATCTCAACTACCTCAACTGATGAAGTTTCACTACTTCATCTAATGACCTGCTATCCTTTCGCAGTACTCGCTTCCTAACAACAACATTGCTTACTCGGTTGTGCCAGGATACACGAGCAATGCTTCAGAGACATATATGATCAAAAACCAATAACTTACGAATATCTTCTCGTCTGACTGGCCATGTTTCTCAGCCATAAAGTAGGACGGAGCGAACTGCTGAGCAGTACATTAATCTTTAAGCTAGCAAACGGATATCTCGCCTACTCGATCAGTGACGCAAGTTGGCAAGAGCCAATCGAGCCTTATCTATCGTTGCTGATATTTCAGCAGTCACCTGACCATCAGCACTGATAAGACTGGTCTACTCCCGAAAACTCAGACGAAGATAAAGTTAACTCTAAGAGCATGTCTACGACAATGTTTAACAGGAATGGAGAGTGAACAGCCATCACGGACACCACTCAAAGTAATAAATTCCGATGACAGTTCGTCATACCCTGTCACCCGAATAGTAGTGTTCGCGTGTGCCTTTATGTGTATGAGACCAGATGTTACTTTCCAGCTGGTCACATAGTGCACGGGTTCTGGTTGTCAGAAGGGTTATCAGCCTCGTGACTTCTGTAGGAACTCGGCTTTCATCCTGGGATTTCATAACTCTTCTAAATAATGTCCTAACTTCCAGAGCAGAGTTTAAATTGTTTGGATTATTTTTTCTGGTTAGCGTTTTTAGCGAGTTGGTTTTCTACGGGATATTGCCACCAACCCCAAGCCTAACCTCTCTCCTTTATCCGGGATTGGGAGCGGCAGTAGCCTCCTATGGTCTACAGATAGAGTTCTAAGTAAGGTAAACTGTCACTTCAAACATAATGTTCAATCTGTAGTTTAGGGGTTACCAAAGATTCCGTATATGAAGTTACCTATTATATCATATATTTCCTATTACTATATTAATTATATTGGCGGTTCGTATAAGATGACTAACTAAAATGTTTGTTAACGATATAATAAGCACTCGTTATTAAGAATGCCATCTTGTCGACGATGAACTGAACTGTTGCTGTTTAGAAGTTAATTTTTCAAACACTTGATGGTGCACAAATACCATCTCTAATGAACATTTGAATGATACATTGTTTGTCAACCTATTAATTACAAAACGCGTCAAACTGGAATGCATCCGATCGAGTTCATTTTACCTGTTTCGATGCAATTGTTTTTGAAGATTATAAAGCGATTCTGTCTATCAGTAGTTATAAATATTCAGGTTATGTATTTTACATCTCTCTTGAGCATCGAGTTTTTATCAGTCATTATTAAGCTTTAAATGGTCCAAGACACTAACTTTTTTGGTAAAACGTTGAAAGAGAATTATTCGTAATTTTCTGAATAAGCTTGGATGTTATACAACGTCATATTTAAGATAATCTCAGTGATTTACATTTGAATGATTCCAAGTTTTTTCTGGCCATTCTGTTCGACCATCGTTGAACTTCACTGAATATTTCCGATAATGATAACATACAAGTAAACTAGAAAACTATACGTTTTGCATTTACAACACATTTCACATAACTCATGCTCTTACTACACATGAGCGTAGTATAAAAACCATTTTGTATATATTTGTTTTTAGACCTTATTCACCTTTGATTATTTCCATAAAGAATCTCAGAATAGTTGGAATTATCTAAATTTTAGTCGCCGGAATTTTCGCAAGCACAATTTCACCATAAATATTCAGATACTTCATTCCTAATTTCTGTCAAACTGTTTGCTCCAGTTTAAACAAATGTTCATACTTATTAGATTGTTCTTATGTTAAACTGTTTGAGATAATCAATCAGTAATCTTTGTTTTGTTTTTTTTTCATAATATGTATTGTTGCGAAATTTCACCCCATTTCCATTGATTGAATTCTATCAACGGAACCAATTTTCACACTTTATGTTTAAAATGAAAACTAGTTTGTTAAATATTCTGTTTAAATCAATTTCTCTATTAATTTGAGATAGTTATAAATCCCTTTTTTTTTTAACCTAATCAATAAAAGTATTTGTTGCACAACTAGATTCATTATGCTATTTTGTCATTATTATTACAACTACTTTCATTTTGGTTTTGATTTATTTCACAGGTAAAAGCACTTGATGATTACATCCCAGAAAATGTATTAAAGCATATAACATTTTCAATCGTTTCAGCATTGTATCATTTACGATACGATCTGAATATGATTCATCGTGATATAAAACCAGCTAACATGTTGGCTAACAGAAACGGTCAAATAAAAGTAAGACGATTAAAAATCAATTGATTAATATACATAAGACTGTTTGTAATTTCTTTTTCTTCCTTATGTTAAATAAACTTAGATTAGATGTTTGCTTAACATAACACAATAATATAAAACAAGAAAGATTAGTTCCACGTAGAGTTCTCGTTTCGGCGAATTCAGTCGAAAATATATTCTTTTTCCCATAGTGATAATTACAATAATAGTGATTATAAAAATTTTGTTAAACGTAGTAATAATAAGACAAATTAGATAATCAGATAAAACGTTAATTCGATTAAAGGAATTAAGAATAATATTGTTGTTAAGGTCTTTAATATTCATCGAGAAAATTGCTAAAGAAATTATAATCGGAAAGCGTCAGTGTGATCAGATAAAATATTCAAATTATGATGATCTGTAATCAGGAGAATCATAGAAACAGAAACAGATTAGTTGGGTTGAGGGAGGTAAAAGGTCTTTAGAGAAGAGAATAGAAGTGAAGCAGATGGCTGTGAGAGAAGGGAAAGTTTATTATATTCTTTAGGAAAGATTAAGACCATGGTAGGAGAAGCGGTTGCACCAGTTTCTTCTGTACACATTGTTCTGGTTTTTCCAGATGTATGAGAAGTGCTACGGCAATGCTAAGAAAATGGCAGTCAATTGCCTTTGGCAGTTTCCTACTCGCCCTATAGATGACTTATAACGCAGAATCCGTTTTGACCGAATGACCTGTGTTTACAAGGTGTTCGATTACTGAGCTTCGTATTGACCCGTTTCCGCCTCTTTTCAACCAAGCCAGATAATGTTCTTGAATTCTTTCGGATAAAATACGCATCGAACGACCTATATTCCTAGCTCCACATAAACAGTTAATTGATGAACACACATGGAATTGGTCAAATGCGATAATTTATCCTTTAGATAATTGTTGAACATTGGTCGGCTCGAGAAAACTAGCCGCAAAGTTGCTGCGAAGAACGTTTTATTGAGAGTCTGAAATTCGTCTCTTCAGTATTTCTGCAGCTAAATTACGTTTGAAACAATATGAAATCATGGTACCAATAAAACAATATTCTGTAATAATTCTAAGTAATCATGTGGTAAGATAAATTCAGTTGAATTGTTTAAATTACATTCATATCTCATTATAAAATATTTTGAAGATGTTTATATATTGTTCTTGTGATAGAATGTACTGTAAGGTGATGATTTCTTATCCAGCACAATATCTGTAAGCGCACGATCACAGTACAACAGACAGACAGACAGATATAACGCAGAACTTCGTACGTAAGTACATCAGTTCAGGTTGCCATGCCCCATCAGCACAGAGACGCAGCTGTTAGTTCAAATCCCAGAGTGATAGTAATAATAGAAGTATTAGCAGTAATGGAGAAGATTAGGGAGCGAAGAAATGATTCGAGAAGTATAATTCAGTAAGATAAATTTAGAAGGAGAAAGATAGGGATTATGAGGAATGCAGAAGCTTAGACTTTCATAGAACATAAAGAGGAGATGCACCTGCGCCATTGCAAACGATTCTGAGCCATGTCATTCAAGGTCTTTAACCTTCGGTGACTATCGTCTCGCGGACCCCAGCCAGATAGCCTACATCTACCAACATGACTCAGTCCACTTGTCGGTGACTTCATGGATTTCTGCCATGTTTTGGTTTGGCCGCCCCTAGCTTTCTTCCTACCTACTCCTACATTGCGAAACATAGCTCGTCGGTGGTTAGCCATACGTAACACATGTCCCAACCACCTCAACTGATGAAGTTTCACTACTTCATCTATTGATTTGCCATCCCTACCTAGAACTCGTTTCCTAACGACTGCATTGCTTATACGGTTTTCCCATGATACACGCGCAATGCTTCGGAGACATGGATGATCGAAGACTAGTAACCTACGGAAGTCCTCTACTCTTAACGGCCAAGTCTCACATCCATACAGTAGGATGGAGCGAACTGTTGCACAGTACACTCGTCCTTTGGTTAGCAAACGGATATCTCGCCTGCTCCATAGGTGACGGAAGTTGCCAAAAGCCAATCGAGCCTTCTGTATCCGTGCTGAGATTTCGTCAGTCACCAGGCCATCAGCACTGATGAGACTCCCCAGATACGTGAAGCGGTCAACACGCTCAACTACTTCACTCCCTATCACTAGTTCAGGTGCCGATGAAACCCAATTTTGAAGCAACATTTTCCACTTCGAGAGGGGAGACCGCATCCTGAGCATGCTTGCATTGTTGCTTAGGGTGGTCAGAAGACTCTGCATTTTGTCAGCGTCTTCACCAAGTAGGACTATGTCATCGGCACATTCTAAGTTGATAAGCGAGCCACCTGGTAATAGGTCTACTCCTGAAAATTCAGACGAGGATAAGGTTATTTGTAGGAGCATGTCTATGATAAAATTAAACAAGAATGGAGAGAGTGGGCAGCCCTGACGGACACCACTTGAAGTAAAGAATTCTGTTGACAGTTCACCATGTGCTCTCACTCGACCAGTGGTGTTCAAGTAGAGTGCTTGTATAAGGTTAATGTTCTTATTTGGTACACCTTTGAATGACAGACACTGCCACAGAACCTCACGATCCACAGAGTCAAATGCCGCTTTCAGGTCCAGGAGGACAACTGTTGTAGGGCGACTAAATGTATGCCTGTCGTAGTGTGAAGATGTGGTCTATACAACCACGTCCAGGTCGAAAACCAGCCTGGTTTTCTCGAGTTTGCTCTTCACGAGCACTAGTAAGGCGTCCAAGTATAATCAAGGTTAACAATTTAGAAAGTATATTAGTTAGACTGATTCCCCTGTGATTGTCACAAGAAGACTTTTGTCCTTTCTTATAGATTGGGACAATCAGTGATAGAGACCAGTTGGATGGGATTGTGGCTAGTTCCCGAATTCTACCTAAGATGTCAGTCAACCTAGCTGCTAAAACTGGACTACCATCCTTAAATATCTCAGGGGTCAGTCTATCAGGACCTGCAGCTCGTCCTCGTTTCAGATTTCCTAACGCTTTCTCAACTTCATAAAGACTAAGGGGGCTTACGTCGATTCGCCAGTTAGGATGACTGAAGATCGTGGGTAACCGAAGTGTGGCTGAAGGCCAGTTGCACTGATCCCTAGTGTTCTGCCCATCGATCCAGTCTCCTGGATCGACAATAAATAATAGTCCCATCATTTTCCGAGATAGTCTCACTTACACTAGGATTCCTAATACCAGTTTCCTTAATAAGTTGGAAAGGTTGTCTACTATTGCCTATCGCCGCTGCCTTTTCCATCGCTTTTGCTTTCGCCGCCCACCACTGTTCACGGTCGTTGCGCAGGCTTTTTATCAGCCTGCACTCAAGCTGACTTCGTTCTTCATCATGTTCAGAGCCAGGTGGGATGAGTTTTTGAGTATCCATCAGTTTGGTGGATGCTGCTGCGATCCACGGCTTTGTTCTAGTTCTATGGATTACCTTACTAACAGATATCACTGCTGTTTCCACAGCCTTTTTGATATCATTCCAAGCTGCCTCCGGATCGGAATAGCTTACATGGTCGCCTAACTCTTTCTCTAATTGTACCTGAAATATATTCTTAGCTTTATTATCATTAAGTAAAACCCTAAGAGGCTTTCTTACGGTGTCTTTCCAATGTCCAATAAACTTCAATCATATACGAGCTCGCACTAAGGCATGAGAACGAGCGGCAGTTCTCTATCGAACCCCTCCATCGGTGGCTGATGGCGATGTGATCTAGTTGGGTCTAACGTTAAGACGACTTTGGGGTCGCCGGGTCACAAGATATTTTTCCTTATGCCTAAAGCTAGTGTTTGCTAGAAATAGTTGGTTATCTGAGCGTACTTGCAGCAGACGGTCGCCATTGTCTGTTCTTTGAGCTGCGACACCATATGATCCACCAAGGTGTCTTTCATTTTCACTTAGTCTACCTATTTGAGCATTAAAGTCACCAGCCATTATTACTTTATCAGAATGCCTACATTCTTGGAGGAGGACCGAGAGCTTTCTGTAGAACTCATCTTTCACATCGTCGGAACTTCAGTCAGCGGGGGCATAGGCAGATACGACGAAAAGGCAACGACGGGTGTCCCTATCTTTCCGAGTCCTTACTGTCGCGTTCAATCGGACGGCGCACAAGCGACTATCTACTGGGATCTAGTCTAGGAGCGCTAGTTCAGCCCTACGAATCAATGCTATACCTAGACCAGTGAGGCCCCGGGAAGCAGCATCGGGGCTACCGGATACACGAAGAGTAAATCGGGCAGCTTCTTTGTTTTGACAAGGCGAAATCAGATTAATGACTTTACTAGGATCCTGTACGCGCGTTTCCGAGACGCAGCACACATCAGTTGAGCGTGATTCTAATGTTCTAGCTAACGAAGCCTGTTGCACTATTTGACATGTAGCGGGGTTTCAGGAGACCAGAAATGACATTTTGTGAACTTGCATTGTTTGCATTAGCTGTGCAGTGAGATAAGGGAATGTGAGAAGAGTTAGTCGTGGAGATAAGAGAGGTGCTAGGGGGTGTAGAAAGGATTTGATTTTGACCAATTTGGTCTCGTGTGCTGTTACAGATATGAGGGCGGTTGTCACTTCGCGGCTGCCCACACCATGGAAGGTTGTTTCTAGAGGAACCTGAGAAGCAAGGTACATTAGCTTTGGTCTTAGAGACCTGGGTGCATGACCGCAGAGCCCAAGGGACAACTGCTTGAGGTCGGTCACGCACGGCCTTTTTATGAAAGGTTTTTTGAGTATTAGCTCCGCTCTTGAAAGCCCTTGGTGGGGGCACCCTTACCCAAGGAGACGGAAATCCGTGAGTTAGGGGAGGTGTGACATTTTTAGGGTCGACCTTTTCTAACCCTTCCTTCCTTGTGAGAAGGCAGCATCGCTGCAGATGCTGGTTGTCCGAGGGAAACGCCTTACTGCTGTCACACCCGTCTGCAGTCAACAGTACGACTTCGCCCTCAGACCTTGAGTATCTGTTTTTAGTCTCATCGTTCTCCAATCGACCTGCCTGGCATGGTAGGACCTTCAGGAACATATGTTCCAGCCAGTATAGCTCGGTTGGTTCATCACGATAGGCAAGCCCGACCACCACGTCAAGGTAGCAGCTACGGTCGGTACAACATTCGATTAGTGACTATGGCTAATCATGACTTTCTTTTTCTACATCCTTACAATACAAAATATTGAGACTATAAAGAGCTCGTTTTTTATTTTATATTTCACTGATTCTAAACCTACCCCAGAATCATTTTTCAGGTTCTGCAACAAAAATGGCTTTTCTATAAACTCATAACGAAACTTAAGTATCATTAAACCTAGGCTTGCGGTTAACTATGCGAAAAAACGTAGCTATATTCTGTAGAATTATGTTGACTTCGACAAAGATTACTTTAGGTTTACTTTAGGTTTAATATAACAAGTAATAACGTAATAACTAGAGAATTGTAAGATGATTTGAGTAGTTCACTTAAAGTAGGAGTGAAATGTTGTACTGAAAACTATATTTATCTTCCTCTGTCATTGTCAATTTTGGGAGTTTTTCCGTTCAATTTCAATCATTTTTTATATCTAAGGTGTGATTTAAAAAGTTATTCTCTTATCATGATATATATATAACTTTATTGTGAAAATTTTTAAAAGTCTAGTAGTTCAACAATTTACTGACGTATCTTTTATATTTCGATTTTTTCACCGTTATTTTATAGTTAGGAGACTTTAGTACTGCCGTCACACTTTCCAACTGTGAAACTTTAACAGATGTTGGGTCGTGGCGTTACCTTGCTCCAGAACGTGTAAGCTGTGGTCCCATAAAAAGTTACGGAGTTAAATCTGATGTTTGGTCTTTAGGCTTAAGCATTTATGAACTAGCAACTGGTACAAATCCATATGAACCACCTAGAGATCCTGTAGATGCATTCAATCAGGTAATTCTTATAGACTTCCAATTATAAATCTAAATTTGTTGTTTACCTGCCTTGTGTATCTTACTGGAAGATTATATTTACTTAAATAGTATCACAATGATCCGTCTCAACACATTTTGTCTCACTACAATTAATTATAAATCACGCGATATTATAGCATTACATATTTCATTGTCAATTTATGAATATAGGCGTGATTTGACTTCTAAATCTCTTGAAATTTTTACTTTGAATTTTTAAATGAACAACACTGTCTATCATGTGTTGTTACCATTGGTGTGTTGTCTAAATCTCATGATTGATTCATTAGTAATTTTAGTTTTACAACTAAACAAACGCAACTACATTAATTGCTTGCTGATTTGTTTTCTCTAATGATTCTGAGAAGAAAGTTTAAATAGACGGCTTTCAGATAACCAGTACCATCCAATTACTCGTTATCATACTTTAATCAACAATTAAACTATTTTTAACAAGATATTATTTTGAGGTCAGTAACTGCAAAAAATGATTAACCATTTAAAAATTGACAATTTACCTATAATAGACTATAATTATTGTGTGTAAACGTATAATGTGACTTCTAATTTTAGCACAATATTACGCTAACAAGTTAATTTAAATATGTCGTCTTATAAAATATTTTAGCAGATACATATATCACTATGTGTTTTAAAGACTTAGAAAGGATTTTTGAGTATTATTCTTCCATTTTTTGTAATTTAGTGGAAATTGTTTATTTTTTTTGTAAGAATCTACCACTAACGTTAGATACCTATTATTAGTTGTATTATACTAATTATTAACAATGAAAGTTTCAAAAAAAAACCTGTTCAGAAATAGTATTACGCCTTCATAATGTACTCAGTAAACGTAGTTAACTACACATAATTATATAAAGAAGTTAAGAAATAAAATTATAATCGATATGAATTGTCATCTGTCAACCGGTTAATGTATCTTTCTTGACTACTTTAAAATTTTGAGTAGTATTCATCGAAACACATTGGTACGTATGACTTTCCGTCTTCATAAACTAACGAAAGGAAAAGAGATGAAACAGGTAGTGGGAACAGGCAACACTAGACGACTTTACAGACTGATCAAGGGAACAGGTACCACAAAGTCAAGTGTTAGTAAGACTTCCTCGGAAAAGGATGAAATTCTACTAATTGAGTGTTTCAGAGAGTGGGGCAGAACACTTCGAAAAACAGTTCAGCTAATCTCCGATTACCTTTCCGTGACTGTTTATCCCCAATCACTCAACACTGCACCCAACTAGATAACATCGCTCGATAGAAGACTGTCGCTCGTTTTGGGGCACATGCTTAGATTCAGATCAGGCCCTAGTGCGAGCACCTATTTGTTTGTGACTTAACGCACGTACGAAAGACGCCACAAAAAACATTTTCGGGTTCTACCTAATGATAGCAGAGCTATCATTATATCTTACCATTATATCTTCATATCTAATGTTGTCCATACCAACCTTGGCATTAGGGTCCCCCATAAGAATCGTCAAGTCCTTTGGTGAGCATCTGTCGACGATTGACTGCAGCGTTTCGTAGAATTGATCTTTATCATCATCCTTGTAGTCGTTGGTAGGTGCATAGCATTGGATGACGTTCATTCTAATGTTCTCTTTCTTTGTTTTGAAGCATGCTTTAATCATCCTTCAACGAATTCAGGATAGCCCTCACCAAAAGGTTCCAGCCCTTTCAGGGGAGGACGCAACAGTGGAGAACAATTGGAAAAGGAGTCAAACAGGCAATCGCTCCAACATGTCACGAAGTTCTGGGTCACAAGAAGTACCATCACAAGGAATGGATCTCTGTTGATACTCTTGCAAAAATTGAAGAAAGGAGGAACAAGAAGGCAGCATTCAATGTCAGCCGAACAAGCGCGGAGAAAGTTACCACACAAGCTGCATACACAGAAGCAAACAGGGAAGTGAAGAAGAGCATCAGGGCTGACAAACGAAAATATGTGGAAGATCTAGCAATGACGGCGGAAAAGGCTGCAAGAGACGGAAACTTGAGACAATTGTACGAAACAACAAAGAAGCTCGCCGGGAACTATCGTAAACCAGAACGACCAGTGAAAAGCAAGGAAGGCAAAGTAATCAGCAACACTGAAGAACAGCGAAATAGGTGGGTAGAGCACTTCAAGGAACTCCTGAATCGACCAGCTCCACTGAACCCACCCAACATCGACGCAGCATCCACTGACTTCCCAATTAATATTGGCGCACTTACGATTGAGATCAGTATGGCCATCAGACAAATCAAGAGCGGCAAAGCAGCAGGACCAGACAACATTCCAGCAGAGGCAATGAAAGCAGATGTAGAAGCAACTGCGAAAATATTTCACAACCTCTTCAAGAAGATTTGGGATGAGGAACAAGTACCATCAGATTGGAAACAAGGATGCCTGATCAAAATACCAAAGAAAGATCTCAGCAAGTGTGAGAACTACAGAGGCATCACTCTTCTTTCAATACCAGGCAAAGTCTTCAACAGGGTATTGTTAAACAGAATGAAGGACTCCGTAGACGCCCAACTCCGAGATCAACAGGCCGGATTTCGTAAGGATCGATCGTGTACTGACCAAATTGCTACATTGCGGATCATTGTGGAACAATCAATTGAATGGAACTCACCACTCTACATCAACTTCATCGACTACGAGAAAGCATTCGATAGCGTGGATAGGAAAACACTGTGGAGGCTTCTTCGACACTACGGCGTGCCTGAGAAGATAGTCAACATCATAGGAAATTCTTATGATGGATTCAACTGCAAAATCGTACACGAAGGACAGCTAACAGACTCTTTCGAAGTGAAGACCGGTGTCAGGCAAGGTTGCTTACTCTCACCCTTTCTCGTTCTTCCGGTGATCGACCGGATTATGAGGACGTCGATATCTGGAGGGAAGCACGGTATCAATTGGACAGTTAAGACGCAGCTGGACGATCTGGACTTCACGGATGACTTGGCTCTTTTATCGCACACGCAACAACAAATGCAAGAGAAGACGACTAGAGTAGCAGCAGCCGTTGCAGCAGTAGGTCTCAACATACATAAAGGAAAAAGCAAAATTCTCCGATGCAATACAAAATGCACCAACCAAATCACTCTTGATGGAGTTGCCTTGGAGGACGTTAACACCTTTACATATCTTGGCAGCATCATCGACAATCAAGGTGGATCCGATGCAGATGTGAGGGCACGGATTGGCAAAGCAAGGGCTGCATTTCTACAGTTGAAAAATATCTGGAACGCAAAACAACTTTCAACCGAAACCAAAATCAGGACTTTCAATACAAATGTCAAGACAGTTCTACTGTAGGGAGCGGGAAGTTGGAGAACTACCAAAGCCATCATCCAGAAGATACAAGTGTTTATTAACAGTTGTCTACGCAAAATACTTCTGATTCGTTGGTCAGACACTATCAGCAACAACTCATTTTGGGAGAGAACAAATCAGATTCCAGTGGAAGAGGAAATCAGGAAGAAGCGGTGGAAGTGGAACTGACACACACCCTTCGAAAAGCACCCAACTGCGTCACAAGAAAAGACCTCATTTGGAACCCTCCAGGTCAAAAGAAAAGTGGAAGGCTGAGGAAGGCATTACTCAGAGAAATAGGGAAAGACCTGAGAAGAATGAATGAAAACTGGAAAGAACTGGAAAGGAAGCCCAGGACAGAGTTGGTTGGAGAAAACTGGTGCGCTGCTTATGTTCCATCGGGGGTAACAGGCGTATGTAAGAAAGTAAAGTAGTGTGAAAATATGGTCCATACATCCACGTCCAGGTCGAAAACCAGCCTGGTTTTCTCTAGTCTGCACTTCAGGAGCTCTAGTTAGGCGTCTAAGGATAATCGAGGTTAACAATTTAGAAAGTATATTAGTTAGACTGATTCCCCTGTGATTGTCACAAGATGACTTGTGTCCTTTCCTATAGATTGGGACAATCAGTGATTGAGACCACTCGGATGGGATTGTTTCTAGACTGTATTTGAGGTAGTTACTGTTTGACCATAGACACCTTCAAAGCATTGCTCATATATGTGGGACGACCAAGTTGGCAACATTGCGATTCGACAGCTTGCTTGACTAAGGTGACAGGTTGATGAGGTTGTCAGTCTACTGACTCAGGTTGTGAGAAAATGTTACATATGTCATAGGATTTTCTACCTCTAATAGTATTGTTTACTAATTCAGAAATAGATATAAAGAAAACTAGAGGTAACTTGGCATCAGTCCATGAATTCAGTGACTGTTGATCTGACCCTTGTAGATGGATGCAGACTATCTGGTTGGCGTCAGCTTGATAACCAAGGTCAGAGGTTGAAGAATTTAGTCGACGTGGCTCATAATCAATCATAATATTGCAGATGCATTTACTGATTTCGTACTTCGCTATTTTAAATACCAGTATCTCTTGATACATACTTCTCCACTCTGCTTTTTTGAACTATATGCCTATGGATTAGTTTTTCTTTTTGCTGTTACTACTACTTCATTTTCATCTCTTGCTAATATGGTGCATCATCTTAGATCAATGCAAATCTGCTGCAGATCCTGTTTTCATGATCCCTATTTGTCTGTTGGTTTAATTGACACTGTATTTTCATAACCAAATTATTTTATGTGATTGTTACTCAGTGATCTGAAGATTTGAGTAGAAACGTTTTGTACAGTAAATAGACCCAAACATAGATACTACTGTGACGAGGTTGTCAGGTTTGACTATAGTTAATCAACTGACTGACCTATATCCGCTGAAATACAAGTTTTTTTCAGGTCCTACCATGCCTCGCAGTTCTGTTCGATAGCAATAAGACACATAGTAAGGACTTAAGTTCTGAGAGCGAATTCGTACTGCTAACTTTAGAGGGCTGTGACAACAGAGGGTGTTTCTCTCATGCAACCAGCATCTACAACAATGCTTCCTTCTCTAGAATCTTGCTTTATCAGTGTATGATGCGTCTCCGAAACGCGTATGCGTGATTCATATGTGGTTATTCACTTGACCTCACCTTGTAAAAAAAACCGGCCCGATTTACAGTTCGTGTACTCGTAGACTACTGCTTACTACAAGTGGCCTCGCTGGTGCAGGCTTAGCGTTTGTCTCAAAAGCAGAACCAGCTCTCCTAGACTAGATTCCACTATGCAGTCGCTTGTGCACCGTCCGACTAGATGGGATAGTAGGATCTTGGAAAGATCGGGACACTCACCGTTGTCTCTGCCTTTACTTCCAGTTTCAAACGATGTAAAAGGTGAACCTTATTACCAGCTTTCCAACTTTTATATAACTAAAAGGTCTAACGCATTAACAGTGGCTGGTGATTTTAATTCCAAAGTAAAATAAACCAAACTGCAACGCACCCAACTAACTCTTATGGATTCTTGGTAAAAAGCATTGCTCGATATGAAAACCCCGTAAATCAAATTAACGTTGGACCCAAATAGACCACATTATTATCAGAAACCGATGGAGATGCTCAGTAGAAGACTACCGTTCATTCTGGAGCACATGCGTGTAGATTCAGATCATGGTCTAGTACGAGCACTTAGAATAATAAGTGTCTCATTGGACGTAAGAACGCTATGACAGAAAAAGCGTTGAAGTTTGAAAAACAATCACTAATTTATTTCAGGAACAACTCGAAAGTTAGTCAGCAGGATAAGTCGCACCTACTTCGAGGTAGCTTAGATTGAAACCCAAAATCCGTAGAAAAAGCAGTGATATCTAACAGTCGGCTAAACCAAAAGTTTGAGAACAATCAGTGTATTTCAGCTCAATCTCAATTCAGACTACATTCGAACCTGGACGTGAATTTATAGAACAGATATTCACACTTCGTCAGGTCCTCGGACACAGACACACATGCAGACATCCAACCTCAAGGCAGCGTTCGGTTCTGTCGGTCGTGAGGTTCTGTGACAGTGTCTGTCATTGAAAGGTATACCGAAGAGGTACATTGACCTTGTACAAACTTTTTACTCGAACACCACAAATCGAGTGACAGCTTATGGCGAATTTTCATCGGAACTTATTATTTCAAGTGGTGTTTGATCGGGTTGTCCACTTTGTCCATTCTTATTTAACTTCGTCGCTGACGACACTATCATCATCTGGCTTTTCACGATTTGACTTTCTATCGGGAGATTTACTTGGTGACTTACTATGGAGGTGACATCGTTCTGTTTGGTGAAGACTAACAAAATGCCTTCTTCTGACCACCGTAAGCAACAATGCGATTCTCTCCTTCGAAATGCATAATGTTGTTTCTGGATTGAGTTGCATTATCACCCGAACTAGTGTTAGGAAGTGAAATAGTTGAGTTTGTCTACCACTCTGCTTTTCTCGGGAGTTTCATCAGTGCTGATGACTTGGTGTTTGGTTCGATTTCTATACGGATACTGATGGCTGGACTGGCTTTAGCCAACCTGCATCACCTTTGGCGTAGGCGAGATATCCGTCAGCTAACTAAAGGATGAGTGTACTGCGCAGCACTGCGCTCATTTTCAGTTTGTGGGTTCGAAATATGGTCATTAAGAATGGAGGATATTCGTATGTTACTAGTATTCAATCATAGGTGTCTTTGAGCATTACTCCTATATCGTGTGACCTTCGAGTAATCAATGCTAGGGTTAGGATTGGGGTTCTAGGTGTAGCACCTCATATCTGAAAGAATGGGAGATCAGCTGATGCAGTAGTCGATCTCCATCACTTGACGTGGTTGGCACATGTATGACGTATGCCCAACCACCGACCGCCTCGACGAGTGATGTTGTCTGATGCAGGGGTAGGTTGAAAGAAAGCTAGTAGCAGCCAAACCAAAAACGGCAGAAATCCCTGAAGTCATTAAGAAAATCTTTTGCAATATCGCGAGTGCATCCACTCTTTATCTTGTCGCAAATTCTAAGCTTCTGAATAACCTATAATCCTTTTATATGATTGATTTCTATTTTCATAATCTTATTTTTAATCCCCATTCTTTTTTCATACTAATTTCACTGTTATTAGCTCCACTTCTGTGAGGATTTTTAAAAAACTTCAGATCTCTTTCTTAATCGAAGCAAGGCAGTTTGAATTGGTGTACGTACGTACTAAGTGCTTCATTGTAACTGACTGACTGAGATCGAATAGTAAAACATCCTCATATTGTATAATTAGATTTTCTGTTCACATAATTCCACATACATTTGTTGATATTTTAATTTTTTTTAGATTGTAAATCGTGATCCCCCAAGTCTTTCAAGTGATCTTCCATATTCCAATCATTTTCGAGAATTTTTGAATATGTGCCTTATTAAAGAAGTTGGTGAACGTGCAGACTACAATGATTTACTGGTGTCAAATTTCATTCGATCAATTGATATCAATTCTTATATGATTAAAACGGCACAATTCTTAGCGAAATATATCTAATGAATTTTCCAATTTGCGTTTATCAGCTAGTCAAACTTCAAGAATAAATATTATGTACATTGAACAAAGATGTATTTCGGCAATTTTGTCGTATATTCCTGTTCTATACTGAATTATAATAAATTATTCCCATAGGGCTGTGAATATTCATTTCATATAGATTTTTTTTTCCATTTTATTTGTAAAGCTTTTTTATACACATGAAAATAATTGGATCCAATTCATTGCAAAGATAATATTTTTCTTTAAAATTCAACTATAATTTTAGTTAACCTAATTCTTTCAACGAGTCTTTTTTTTGTCATACCACTTTGATGAATATGCTGTCTCATGGATAATACTGTTGTATAACTCAATGTTAGCAACAGACAGAATAATATGTCTTCCAAATTTATTTGTATAGACACCTTTAGTTCACCTTTAGTTTTCTGATTTACATGATATTTTGTAATCACTTTGAATAATTTTCTTAAATGATTTTAAAATGTATTATTTTGTATTATATATATATATATATATTTTTAATTATTGTACATATTATTTATTACGCATAATGTGTAGAGTTACTTTGAATTCACTTATTTTGTTCCAATCTGTGAATTAAAATATAACAGTGATCATTAGTTTAATTGTTTGTATGTAAATCTGTAACTTTGTAATTAATAATAATAAACTGCCAAATATTATATGTTGTAGTTTATTTTTTTTTGAAAAATTGATCGATTCGTCTTTTTGATGCACGTTTAGTTAATATTTTCTTTTAGACTTGTCAGTCTAGACTTTTGCAGTGATAGTAACAATCATTATTATTATTATTTCTATTATTAAACTATCAAACAACTATTCAATATAGGTATGATATTTTGGTAATATTGGGTTCGCTTTGTTGAATGGGTTTATGGCTAAGTTTTTGTTGTCATTCTTGACATTATCATCAGTGTCTTCCCTATATAGAAGTGAAACACCTGATTATTTATTCCACACTAATTACATCACTCTGTTCTGATGATAACCTGCTTTTTGTTACGTCTGTTTTAAGCATAACTGACTTGTGTTGGGTACTGAAAACAAAGACTAGTGATAAAGATTTATTTAAATTTAAAAAGAAATCAAAATTACGAATGACTAAACTACTTTATATGATTCACTTACACTCAGATTTGTATAAACTAAACTGAGTAATATTTAACTTATTACGTGAACACATTTCTTTTACTATACAGTTATATATAACACACAAATAACTCATTGACTCAGTCACATAATGACTCCTGAGAATGTGTTTGCATGTTACCGATAATTGGAAAAAATAAATTCCTTGTGTCATTCTCACTAATCGACTAAGCTATTGCCCACTATATCAGGTTTTATCACCATCATATACCTCTGTGTTACCGTTGACTGTTTTTTTCAGTCAACCTTTTCCGTTTGAATATATTAATTACAGTCAAACCTGAATACCGTGCTTATAAAGATTTCCTCGATAAAATTTGTGTCCATAGTCATCTGCATATATTGATGTCATTGATAGTCCATCATGTATACCTAGATGGAGTGAGAGATACGCTTTGTTCATTGTGATATGCTGCGCATCTTATCCTGCCAAATAATCATTTAAAGAAAGTAAAATATTGTACTGGTGATTATTTGATTTCCATTTGGTCAATCTATCTGTCGTGTTTGGATGTATTGAAAGTAACGAACTATATCATCATTTTTAAAATGAATTGAAGTATTTTTAAAATGTTTTTGAAATAAGTTATTTGAAAGAGAATCAATCGAGAAAACATTTTGGTACTTAGTTTTTTATACGCTGATGATGTGAAGATCAAGCATAATTTCGACTAGGAAATTTGTTTTTTACATATTCAAATTTCAGTAAGTTGAAGAAATCGCTAATTTTCACGAAATTAATGCATATAACGTTTGAACATACCTTTCACAAATTTTTACTATCAGCTGTTTACGTTTATTGCCACAGACCTGAATCCATGTCAATATTACAAAATAGAAGGACGTCATTGTGATCAATACCTGTCTCATTGTTTGATGAAATTATAATGGATTTAGTCTAGTTATGAAATTTCAATATTAAAAATTAAGATTTCTAGTTATCGAAAACTACTTAGTTCTGAACACATCAAAAATCTTTAATAATACCAAGTATTTTATGTGTTTATTTTAGGAAGCGTTATGATAAAGAATTCAGTTATCCAAGAACTATCGGTTCAAAGTTTCAAGTTCTGAAAGTAATAAATTGTTTTCATATTGAATAGTTGAAAATATTTGCTATCATCGACGTACGTTGGGAAGCTATTTTAATCTAATTTGGAATCGGTTGACAGTGTGTCCGTCGTTAGTAAGCAATATTAATTTTAATAGGTTCTTCAGCTGGTATCCGTTTTAAAATAACTTTACGCGTACATGAAAAAAAATACTGTTTTATTTAATAGATCCTTCGTGTATTCTATATAATACTTTATGGTAAATCATATTACCATCTACCTACATTGGCCTCTCTAGGTAGAACAGGCATGTATAATTGGAATGAATTATATTTATGTATATTTTTAAGCGTCAAGAAATGTGTTACAAATTAAATTATTTAAAAAAAAATTTTCTACTTACCACGTAATATCAGCAGATAAGGTAATAATGTTAGACGTCTCTTAAGTTCACTTTTTACAATGGATAGATGGCAGGCGTTGTAGTTGACTTTAATGTTTTATTCATCAATGAAGTCTCTTCACTCTAATAATTTATACCTTATATTTTTAGTTACATTATTAAATACCGTAAGTTTTATTTAGAGTGTGGTACAGGATAGAAATTATTCAGTTTGAGTGGCTTATTATATAAAGTTCGGAAGCTTAGAATTCTGATTTCGGTACTCAGTGAATGAATAAGTATTCACTAACACACGTAAACAACAATTTGAATTGTCGGTCGCACATATTTCTTCATTAACCTGACTCAAAAGTGAAATGGTCCAAAATTCGTTCATATTGCAACATGACCCAGACACAGCTTCTCCACATATCGTCAGATAGCGTGACACAAAGAGTCAACATTTGAAGATTTATGGAATATTATATTTCACCTGGACGACAGAAGAAAATCAGATTGGAACACCAGCGAAACGTTCAAACAGAAAAAGAGGTATGTAAACGTACAATTCGCAAAAAAGCAAGCAAGGTGTACACTGTTGAATAAATTATTTAACTGTTCAAAAGTATACAAAATAACTCTACTACATACCAACAATGACACCGTTCAATTTTATAAATGTAAACGTATATGTATTTTTTTCCAAGTTAAAGCACTTCTTGTAGAATTTTCCAAGACAATCTGTTATATTCAGTGTACATTTACCTTACTCTTTAAATGAGTACACAAAGGCAGGATCAAATTTCAGTACTTGTCCAGCTCACTTGCACCCAACTTTCGAAATAGCAGCCAAACCTTCCAAGCATCATGTTGATTGGCGAAATCAAATTTAAATAAATCTTCATAACGCCTGAACCACATGTCAAAAGTGACATTTGCATCAGGATCATCATGAAATTCAGCTATGCTATTCGTGATGCCATCGACTGGTGGAGCTGTGGTTGCATTAGATGAGCTGGGCTGTGTGGAGGGGGGAATCTTCATGTCTGTCTACATCTGCATCAGTTTCAGCTGCTGCTCACATAATAATTCAAGTTTGGCAGGATCCATGTTTCCAAAACTACCGTCGGCACTTGTTAGGTTCGTCACTAGGTATGCTTGAAACTATTACGGGTTCACCTTAGTTGATAAACGCGAACAAGACAATGAACCGGCGTCCAGGTAGGCTAACTTGATCTGAAACGGCTAAAAAGAAGTCTTGATAAGCGTAGAAAGTATATTCTACAAACGTCCTTGGGGCAGTCACAAAAGTAGCCCACTAAAATACACAGCAGCCAATCACAGCCAAGGATTTTCCTGGTGGGAAATGAAATCCTAAGGTCAACTGATCAGCCCACTCTCGCAGACGTGAAATCCAAAATAAGGCATTTATCAAGCGAGTTCTGGGGATCTAACGTCCCTAACAAACTATGAGCTTGACTAAAAAAGAATCCAGTGACTTCAGATCGTACCGATTAACGCTTCTATGACAGGATTTTAGTGCAAAATTACAAATCAACAAAATCATATAGTTCCTTGTGACAAGAATTATGTGTCTGTTTAATTTTCTTCATCAATTTTGCTACCATCGATTTATAATCTAAAGATTTCTGTATTTCTAAGTCTATTTTCAAAACAACACGATCTCCGCAACATAATCTGTAGATGTAGTTCATTGTTAATGTTAAAAAGAATTGTTATTATTTCATCAAAATATATTATTGTAAAGTATGTTTGTTGTTATACTGAATATTTAGTACTGTACTATTTAAAGATTTCGCAATTTTTTTGTATTCTACTTTGAAGGTGTAAAACTGAAATATTACCACATAAATCACCATGTTTGGCAAAATCAGAAAAAGATGCATTAGAGGAAAAAAACTAATTGAGTTGTACTTCTAGAAAATAGATTTTATTTATTAAACCTTCTTCTGAAATCAGAACTAATATTTTGTTGATATTAGGTTCTGAAAACAACTTATACTTTGAAATGTTATCTGAGCTGTGTTGGAGATAACGCTGGTTGGAATGGTTGTTATCCTCCAAAGTGTCAAAAGACGCTCAATTAATATGAAACCGATTGTATTGAATATCACTAAGTGAAGAGCTGAGAATACTAAGGTATTGATTTTATTCATTATACTTAACAGTATGAATTTTCATTCTCTACTCCAACAAACAAGTTATCTGAATCTTGTTGTAAAATGATTTGAGAGTTATTGGATTGCTGAATATAATTATGTGAATAAAAATAATACAACAGAGCATAGTTGTGATCGATTTTAAAAATGTGAATTTCAAAGCTAACCTGTTATTAGATAAAGACAGAATTATCCTAAGCAAAATTGTTGGTT